ATTTTTTTTGGCTTTTCCCCCCGTTTTTAATTTTTTAAAAAGGGCCCGTTTGGGGCGCCCCCCCCATGGTTTTTTCCCCGCCCCTTCCCACCCCCCGCCCCGGGGGTCCCCCCCCCCCCAACGGTTGGGACAAAGCCAGCTTGGGAGCGGGGGGGGGGGGGGGGGGGTGATGTGCAAGTCACACATGATTGCTGTGGGCACAACACACAGCAAACTGAGAAAGTAGGTATCTGGGAGTTTCATGGGATTACTGTAACACACTGGGTAGCTTGAATGCCAGGGATTTATTCTCTCCCACGTTCTGGAGACCAGAAATCCAAGATCAAGGTGTCAGCAGGGCTGGTTCCTTCCGGGACTAGAAAGTCTGTTCAATTTTCTCCTGGCTCCTGGTGATTTACTGGCAATTCTTGGTGTCCCTCAGCTTGTGGACACTTGCCTCCATTATCGACCTCCTGTGTGTGTGTCCAGATTCCCCTGTCCTTACAAGGACACCAGGGCCCACCCTACCCACTATGACCTCATCTGAAGTTCTATCTGCTAAGTTCCTGTTTCCAAATAAGTTCATGTGAGGTTCCAGGTGGATGTCCATTGTGAGGAGACACAACCCAGTAGAGTACCCATTAATAAGTGGCTGAATAAGTTATGATTACTTTGCAGCCGTAAAAACAAAGTTAGATGAGTGTTCTTTGTGCCGCTCCATATGCAAGGGGAGAAAAGATGTGAAACAGGGCAGCAAGTTTCCACATTTCTGTACTAGTAGGGACACAGGCATGTACTGCCCATTTCTGGAAGAAATGGAGTGGCAGCCCAGGTCCAGGCTGGTGGCTGGGGTAAAGGGATTCTCACTGGTCATTGTATATTACATTGGAGCATTTTAATTGCATTTTACAAACTATGTGCATTTTGCAGTTTAGAAATCTTAGTTTCAAAAGGGTGGGGTACCCCAGGCGACCTTGAAATGTCCCTTTGGGTGGCAGGTCCGGTCTGCCAGGTTTCTGAGACTGATGTTCCCGAACCTACCAGGCTCGTTCCACCTTTGACGAGACCCTGCGTTTCTAGTTTTGATGCTCCTATCATCTGCTGGAGGGAGAACTAGCCGGCTTCTCTGCATGGCAGCGATGACAGTGTTCTGTCAGTGGTCCTGCTGAGGCATCCTGGGCAGCCAGTCTCATTCCCCGGGGACTTTCCAGGAGCGAGCTCACCAGGTGAGCACACGCACATCTCTGTCCCTCGGGCAGCGGTGCTAGGAGGATGCATTCCAGAAGGAACTGCCACGTGAGGGTTATGCTTAAGCAAGTTTCCCTGCAGCTTCACATGAACAGCATTGGTTGTTTTCTGCCTTTTTTAAAAAATTGATTTCAGAGAGGAAGGTGGGGGGGGCGGGGCGGGGGAGAAACATCAATTTGTTGTTCCACTTATTTATACATTCTTAGTCAATTCTTGTATGTGCCCCGATCAGGGATCAAACCCGAAATCTTGGCACATGGGGACAAGTGCTTTAACCAACTGTGCTTCCTGGTCAGGGCTCTGCTTTTTAGTTTTAATGGTACCTCATTAAGGTTTGATTTTTGCCCTCAGCATATTTCCACTGACCTCTGCACTGCAGCCCTTTGCTCCTTAAGCCACCCTCTGCTGCCCCAGAGCAGTTGCACATGTTACTTCCTTCACCTGGAGTGGTCTCCTCCCTCCTCCTCTCCTTCCCCCACCTCCTTTCTCAGTTTGCTTGTGTTCTCAACCTCGACAGGCTCTGGCACCAGAGATGCCCT